AATTCCACTTCCTCAATATAGCCAAACATTGTGTTAGCCATACCACTCTGAAGAAATGCCTACCTCTTTCTAGAAGGTTACTCATGAAACCGTAGATTTTCTGGACCAAAAAGCACCTTTAATGGCCCCAACAGCCAAGAAATTAGGGCCTAAGTCCTTTCCACAGCATGGCTGAAAAGTACTTTTCAAGCCTATGCTTACTCCTAGAGTCACAGATAACACCTTATCTCTCAAGATGTGTGCTTTCATTTCTGGACAAGTTTGATCAGTAAATTGTAATACTGACTCAAGAAATCTTTCTCTTTTACAACCATTGGTTCTTTAGAGGTAAATATTCTGTAGTTTGATCAACAGGAAATATCTGAAGATGGGAATAAGCACATTCAAGTTTTATTTTTTTCTGCTCCCCCCCCCAAAAATCCCCTAATTCTCTGTATTTCTCCAGTCATTCCCAATTTGCTGATATAAATTGTTGGCTTACTCTAGACCACTGAAAAACATTAACCTTTGCTTCCTACCACTTCCTGGCTTCTAAAATTGACACACTGGCTCTTTCTGTTACTGTCCTAATTACACTTGCTTCACTTCTATCCAACTAGCTTAGAAAATAAAACTTCTGTGTCACCTTAACATGTTGTTATGAACAGAGACAGAATTAATAATCTAAAAAATTAGATTTTCAAATAGCTGGTTACTACTAAGTACCTAATATCTCCTTTTCCAAGTCAATAATTAACTTTTATATTTGTTTCATACAGTCTGTTGAACTGGACTAAAGTCAAGAAACCTGGCTTTTGTTCTGCCTTGGTGGTTCTCAGGCTTCTTATCTGTAAAATGAGATGGTTTCTAAATGCTTTTCTATTTTTTAATCTCAGCAGGAATGCCAATGTCTGTGTTGCAGAACAAGAAAACCACCTAATTGCTCTTAACATATGTCAGCAAAATTATTACCAAAAAGATGTCATGAGAGGATTCATACTACCTGTATTTCATATGTGAGTTGCTTCAGTTGACTAAATATCATCTATAGGGGTATCTGGGTGGCTCAGTTGGTTAAGCATCTGACTCGATTTTGGCTCAGTTCATGATCTCAGAGTCCTGGGATCGAGCTTGTGTGGGACTCTGTGCTTAGCAAAGAGTCCGCTTGAGGATTTTTCTCTCTCCCTCTACACTTCCCCGCACTCTCTCTCTCTAAAATAAGCAAATCTTAAAAAATTTTCAGTAAACATATATACCATTATATATGTTATGGCAATTGAGTCAGTACACAAAAGGTTAATAAAAATAGAAGTAGAAAGCTGGATAAAATGAGATTATTTGAGTTGTCGTCTTGTCTAATCCTTATAAAACTCTCTGGCATTTGAACATAAGAACTGAACAGTACAGCAGGTTCCCCTTTAAACAGAGCCCAGAGCAAGGAGAACACATTGCTCATTACTGCCTTCTGGAATATTTTTCCAGGCATAAATGCATGCAGTGTAAATTACTAGCATTCTCCTTTACCAAAAAGAATATGTTTTTTTTCTTTATGTACTTTCTAGCATAAAGACGATATTCATTAAAAATCAAATAATAATGACACCCCATTGGGTGGCTCAAGCATCAGTATTGAGGATGAACCAAAAAGCATATTCTATAACACTTAGAATACAATGCAATTGTTCTCAATATCTAAGAACAACTGCTGAAATGAACATGGTATGGGTACTTCAAGACCTTGAATAAAAGCAATTCCAGTTGCTTTGTGTTTCATTAAAGCACAAACACATGCAATGTACACAACACAACTTTACACTTCCCAATTTGGGCTCTATAAAAGCTACATGATATTTTTCTCTTGATTTCCTCTCCTTAATTTTTGGGTTCATATATTTATTTCATACATTTTCCTAACATTAAACTATAATCTATGGAAAGCAGTGCTATTTATCAATTGTATTTTATTGATGTGGTAGATTAAAGATGACATTAAAAAGTTTGCCATGAGTTTCCTCTCTTTTGAACTGCTCAGAGCCCTAATAATTGCTCAGCTTCTGAACTGAATTTCCAAACATCCTTTTCAAAAACTTTACATTCTCTCTTAAATAGTGGAATCTCTCCACACAATCACCAACCTCTACAGAAGAGAAGCAGAAGACAGAAAGTGTGTATAGGTAACCCCCTGCTCATGTTTCTGAAAAGAAAATAAAATAGGCTGACAAAGAATATGAGCATTAAGTGATAAAAGCAGCAATTTCATTTAGAGAGGTTTTTAGTTTCTTTGCTTTTATTTGTTTTTTCATTGTAGTGGGGAGAAGTGGTAGCACCAATATGAATGCCAAGAAAATATTTGCACTAAAGATATGCAGAAAATGATCTGCAGGTATCTGGGCAACCAGGAAGAGAACATTTACACAGTGAAACCAGAGAGGTCTATAAGCTAAGAAGGAAGTAGAACCTTGTAAGATACATTACAGGAGTTGAGCACAAGTACTAGACAGGGCCAATGGCCTTGTTTGCCATGGATTGGAGTTCAGTGACTGACTTGAAAGGATACTGAAGTCACAGGATAATGCAAAACTCTCAGGTATGCTATAGATTGTAGAACATGTGGGGAGACCATTTCTCTAAAAGATAGGAAGTTCCTCATTGTATAGTAATATATTGTTCTTCTGCCCAGTGCTTGCAATTAGGTAATGACATGTTATCAGATAAGCATGTCCCAGTTGGTATGTGAGCACTTTAACTAAGTGCTATAAAGCACCGCTTTTTCATGCCAGAAACATGTGGACCTAGGAATTTTAAATAAATCAATTTTTATTTCATATAGCTTATTTACTTGAGCAGAGAATGCTAAATATCTATAGCTTGAATTTCCCTTGGAGTTCTTCTTATAGTAGCCTTAAAGGGCACCCATATTCTATCCAAGGCAGAGCCTGTTATTAATATAGTGTTAGAGCTCAGTCAGAAAAATTCCAAGTGTTGCTTCCTTTGTTTTGATAAGTTCTCTATATTAGCTCCTATGTGCACCTTTATGTAAGGAATCACTGTGCAGGCCAAATGTTCCTTTCTCTAGATAGCTTATAAGCATCTGGATAAATTTACATTAGAAATTCAATTAACTTTATATTAAAAGGTCAATTAACTTGGCCATGATAGAGATTGTTTTTAATTACTTTTCCTTGCAGAGCTTCTCTTCTTGTCCAAGCACAAGTGACACTATCAAATGATAGTCTCATTACCTGTTGGGTGTCTGAAACTCATATGCAAAACTCACTGGTAAGGACTGTCTTGGTTAAATGAATTTACTTTTATAATCCTTAGGCCTTAGAATATCAGTAAGCAATGACAGGGTATTTTTGCTTAAACAATCTCTATAATATTGTTCATGACAGTATCCTTCATTATTTGTCCTTGCTGGTTTCTCTTTTTTTGGTGGAAGATGATAATAAATAAAAATTATTTTAAATAGTTAGCCCTTATTACATCATATCACAGTATATTATATGAAAAATGAACAAATGATTACATTAAAAACAAGTGATTCTATTCCATTAGAGGGCTCTTAGTTATCTTTGTGTTCACATGGGTCACAATTTAACTCACTCATGTGTCACTAGAGCACTTTTACTTGAAAAACCCAGGGGATTACCACTTGACACTATATAACAAGTTGTAGTGTAGTGTCTACTTGTTACCAGGAGGTAACCAATACTAAGCCATCACTTAATCAAAAGAAAATAATGAAAGAAAGAAAGGTATAAATATATAAATAATATATATGATTATATTTTACATATTAATATACTAACTCAGATCTCCAGGTGATTAGCAACTTAAAAAGAAAACAAACACTACTCAGGAGTTTGATATAAGGTAAAGTCTGCAGATGAAATTTTTTGTTTATTTTTGAAGAAGGGACCAGCCTGTACCTTACAGGAGCAGTAACAATATGCTAAGTATGATATAAATGTTATCTATATAGTTCTCACTACAACAATATGATATATAATTCATTGTTTCCATTTTACTGATGAGCAAACAGAAGCTTATATTCCAGCCAAGGTCACACATTTTCACACTAATGGCAGAGTCAGAAACTACACCCACATCAGTCTGCCTTTTCAGATTTCCCATTTTCTCCTAGGATACAAGCACAGCTCTAAGAGTAGTGAGACCATGAAGTGCTTATAAAAGTGGATTTGGGAGTGTGTCGGAGGGCAGTTTGGGAACTGAATCAGAGGACGGGAACAATTTTGGCCAGTGCAACTCAAAGAGTGGGGCCACAAGAGTATAAATTAACTATTTCATTAAACATATTTTCCACCGTATTTATAGTTTCTCAATAAAGGGAACTGTGCATTGATTTGCATGCCAGTGGATGCTTCTTATCTCCTCCAACCATTAACAGTTTGCAAACCAGCAAGCAGTCCATGGACCACACTTGGGTGGCACAAGCTTAAGGGATGTCTTAGGAAATTTTCCTTTACTGTGAACAAGTAAATGATTTTGGATAAAAGTTATCCTTAAAGTTACTCTATGTGTTTTTCCATTTATAAAAAAGTATTAAAAAGCCACATCGGGGCACCTGGGTGGCTCAGTCAGTTAAGCATCTGCCTTCAGCTCAGGTCGTGATTCCAGGGTTCTGGGGCTGAGCTCTGCATTGGGCTCCCTGCTCAGTGGGGAACCTGCTTCTTCCTCTCCAGCTCCCCCTGCTCATGCTTGTGCTCTCTCTCTCTCTCACTCTCTCTCCCTGTCAAATAAATAAAATCTTTAAAAAAATAAATAAAAAGCCACATCTTATCCATATTTCAGATACTAATGAAGGCTTAAGTCTTAAGTGTTATAAAACTATGGGGGTCCTTAATCTTAGTTGAATTGATACTACTCTTACCAGTTTTAATAAGCCAATCTCTTCCAAGAACAAAGAAAAATAGTTATCTTAAAGAATGAACAATATTGCCATCAAACAGCATGATGTTTGGAGTGAAATACAAATTTTAAAAATGTGTTATTCATACCTGCACCTCCGCCAATGCTTAGAATCTTAATTTCTGATTTTCTATCACCAATCCTGAAAAAAAAATTATGTCGTTTAAGAAAAATATGCTATGTGCTTTGTAAAATCTGATTATAAAGTCTAGTTGAAGAGAACAAACTAAAATTATAATGAACAAAAACTAGGCCAACATGAAAGGTCACACTCATGTCAGTAGTTACACTGCTGTGTTTAGAAATCTTTAGAAAATAGGTTCCACTCATTAATGATTTTCAACTGGGAGACTTTTAGAAACAGCACTATAAACATTTCAGAGATAGGAAATGCCATTTGTTTAGAGATTGTTTGGAGAACAAGAACAGATAAAGTGAGCCTTTGAGTCTAGTGATCTAATAAGCCATCTGTTATAGATGGGAGGAGGTTAAGGTGATTCACACTGTATATCTGCCTTCTTTCTTGCTAACTTCCTTTCAATGAACAAATGTTTATTAAACATTTATTATGTGTCTATATTTAGCATTGGGGATATAAAAATGAATAAAACACTACTTTGCTCTCAAGTTAAAATGTGAGATAATAAAGCTCAGTATTAAGAGAAGGGAAAGATGGCAGAGTAGGAGGACCCTGAACTCATCTCCTCCCACAGACATACTGAGGCCACAGTGACATATAATGCAACTCACCCTGAAAACAACCTGAAGACTAGCAGAACAGATATTCCACAGCTAAAGACATAAAGAAGCCATATCAAGAAAAGTAGGAGGGGTAGAGATGTAGAGATGTGGTAGGAAGCAAACCCCCAGCATGGCAACTACAGGCTGGAGGGATCTCAAAAGCATGAAGAGACTTCCTAAGGAGTGAGGGGGTGAAGCCCCACCTGAGGCACCCCCTGTTATAGGAACCTGTACCAGGAAGACAAGCCTTCATAACATCTGGCTTTGAAAATCAGCAGGAATTAACTCCAGGAGAGCCAGGCTCTAGGAAACAGAGACTCTGTTCTTAAAATGAAATGCCAGCACACAATATCACTCAATCAGAACCCAGTACAGAAACAGAAGTTTGAAAAGTACCTGGACATGTAGGGAGGAAACTGATTGACTAATCTTGGGATTTGTGCTGGAGGGGCAGGGATCTATAGAAGCTTTCTCCAGGAATGGAAGTGCTGGCAGGTATCATTTTTCTTGCCCTTTTTCAGTCTGGCTAGCTGGATGCTGGTAGGAGACAATGTTGACACTCTCTGTCTACTGCTTGCTCACACAAGGGACACCCCTGGAGCACCTGGTTCTGGGAATGGGGGCATTGCTCTACTGAGCCTCACAAGATGCCTTCTACATAAGACCATGACTTTCAAGACCATGAGATATAGCTGTGCAACTAATGCACAGAAATAAACAGAGAGTCATATAAAATTAGAAGACACAGGAATATGTTCCAAACAAAAGAACAAGACAGAAATCAGAAAAAGAACTAAACAAAACAGATAAGCAAGGTACCTGATGAAGAAACGAGAGTAATGTTTATAAAGATGCTCACCAGATTTGGAAGAAGAGTGGATGAACTTCATGAGAACTTCAGTGAAGAGACAGTAAATGTAAAAAAGAACTAATCAAAGCTAAAGAATACAATAACTGAAATGAAAAATATACTAGAGGGAATCAACAGCACATTAGAGGATGCAGAAGAAGAGATCAGCAATCTGGAGTTCAGGATAGTGGAAAGCACCCAAGCTGAACAGCAAAAAGAAAAAGGAATTTAAAAAAAAATGAGAATAGGTTAAGGGACATCTGTACATCAAGTGTACTAACATTTGTATTACAGGGGCGCCAGAAGGAAAAGAAGGGGCAGAAAATTTACTTCAAGAAATAATTGCTGAAAACTTCACCAACCTGTGAGAGGAAGCAGTTCCAGGAGTCACAGAGAGCCCCAAACAAGATGAACCAGAGGAGGTCTACACCAAGATACATAATAATTAAAATGCCAAAAATTAAAGATAACATGAAAATCTTAAAAGCAGCAAGAAAAAAGAAAGCAGTTATGTACAGGGGAAATCCCATAAGGCTATAACCTGATTTTTCACCAGAAATTTTCCAGGCCAGAAGACAGTGGCATGATATATTCAAAGCTGAAAGAAAAAAAAAAAAAAAAGCCTACAACCAGGAGTAATTTACCTGCAAGATAAACATTCAGAATCGGAGGAGAGATAAAGAGTTTCCCAGACAAACAGAAATTAAAGGAGTTCATCACCACTAAACCAGATTCACAAGAAATGTTAAAGGGATTTTTTTATGTGGAAAAGAAAAAGCCATAACTAGAAATAAGAAAATTATGAAAGGAAAAAAAATTCACTGGTAAAAATCAAATAAAGCTAGGATGAAGGATAAAACACAAAAGTAGTGAAATAAATTCTAGCTACAAAAATTAGTTATGGATTACACAGAATAAAAAGATGTAAAAATATGACATATATATAAAACATGGAGGGGGAGTAAAAATGTTTTTATTTTAAAATGTGTTTGAATTTAAGCAACCACAAACTTAATATAGACTGCTATATACATAGGATGTTATATGTGAACCTCATAGTAACCACAAAACAAAAACCTATTAATAGATACACAAAAATAAAGAGAAAGGAATCCAAGCATTACACTAAAGAAAGTCATCAAATCACATGGCAATAGAGCAAGAGCAAAAGAAAAGAGAGAAAAACTACAAAAACAATTATCAACAATTGTAAATATTTATTCACCCATCATAGAGGCACCTAAATATATAAAGCAAATATCAGACATAAAGAAGTAACAGTAACACAATAAGGGTAGGGGACTTTACATCCCATTTACATCAATGGATAGATCATCCTGGCAGAAAATTAATAAGCAAACAGTGGCTTTGACCAATACATTAGAACAGATGAACTTAACAGATACGTACAGAACATTCTATTCAAAAACAGCAGAATATACATTTTTTTCAAGTGCATATGGACATTCCCTAAGATAGATCACATGTTAGGCCACAAACTTGTATCAGTAAACTTAAGAGAATTGAAATTGTATCAAACATCAGAAAAGATCACAACAATATGAAACTAGAAATCAATTACAAGGTAAAAAAAGGAAACAAATGGAGGCTAAATAGCATGCTACTAAAAACCCAATGGGTCAACTAAAAAATCAAAGAGCAAATTAAAAAAAAAATACCTGGAGACAAATAAAAATGGAAACATAGCAGTGCAAAATGTCTGGGATGCAGCAAATGCATTTCTAAAAGGGAAATTTATAGTGATACAGGTCTACCTAAGAAACAAGAAAAATATCACATAAACAATCTAATCATACACCTAAAATACTGGAAAAAGGATAAATGAAGCTCAAAGTTAGTAGGACGGAAATAATAAAGATCGAAAAGGAAATAAATGAAATAATGACTGAAAAAACAATAGGAAAGATCAGTGAAACCAAGAGCTGGTTCTTTGAAAAGTTAAACAACTCATAAACCTTTAGCCAGATTCATTAAGAAAAGTGAAGAGAGGACTCAAATCAGAAATGAAAGAGAAGTTACAACTGACACCACAGAAATACAAAGGATCATAAGAAACTACTATGAAAAATTATATGCCAATAAATTATACTCTGAAAAATAGAAGAAATGGATAAATTCCTAGAAAAATACAATCTTCTAAGACTGAATCAGGAATAAATAGAAAAATCTGAAGAGGCAGATTACTATTGACAAAATTGAATCAGTAATCAAAAATTTCCAACAAACAAATCCAGGACTAGAGGGATTCACAGGAGAATTTAAAGAAGAGTTAATACCTATTCTTCCCAAACTATTCCAAAAAATGGAAGAGGAAGTAATGCTTTCAAATTCATTCTGTGGGGCCAGCATAACCCTGATACCAAAATGAGATAAAGATACTAAAAAATTAAAAAAAAAATTACAGACCAATATCCAACATAGATGCCTAAATTTTCAACAAAATATTAGCAAACCAAATTCAACAACACATTAAAAGCATCATTCACCACAATCAAGTGGGGTTTATACTGGGATACAAGGATGGTTCAATATCTGCTAATCAATCAATGTGATATACCAAATTAACAAAATGAAGGACAAAAATCATATGATCATCTCATTAGATGCAAAAAAGCATTTGACAAAATTGAACATCTATTCATGATTAAAACTCCCAACAGAGTGGGCTTAAAGGGAACATAGCTTAACATAACAAAGGCCATATAGGAAAAACCCACAGCTAGCATCATACTCTGGTGAAAAGCTAAAAGCTTTTCCTCTAAGGTCAGGAGCAAGACAAGGATGTCCACTCTTACCACTTTTGTTCAACGTAGTACTGAAGTCCTAGCCAGAGCAATCAGACAAGAAAAAGAAATAAAAGGCAAAAGGTTGGTAAGGAAAACGTTAAACTGTCACTATTTATAGAGAGGATACCATATGTACAAAACCCTAAAGACTCAGTAAAAAATTATTAGAAGTATAAAATAAATTCAGTAGAGTTGCAAGATCCAAAATGAAATACAAAAATCTGTTCCATTTCTGTACACTAGTAACAAATGAGCAGAAAGAGAAATCAAGAAAGCAATCCCATTTACAATTGCATTAAAAAGAATAAAATATTTCAGAATAAATTTAAACAAGGAGGTGAAAGATTTATGTTTATTGAACCATTATTTATAATAGCCAAGATATGGAAGCAACCTAAGTGTGAATGGATGAATGGAGAAAATTGTGATATATATACAAAATGGGATATTACTTGCCATTTGTGACAACATGGATGGACTTAGAGCGTATTCTAAGTGAAACAGTCAGACAGAGTAAGATAAATGCCATATAATTTCACATACATGTCAGATCTAAAAAACAAAACTAACAAATAAACATTGACAACAACAACAACAAAAAACAAACATGGTTGCCAGAGGGGGGGGAGTGAGGTGATGGGTGAAATAGGCATAGGGGTTTAAATGGTACAAATGTCCAGTTATAAAATAAATAAGCTGTGAGAACGCATGTTCAAGATAAGGAATATAGTCAATAATACTGTAATAATGTATGGTGACAAACAGCAACTATACTTATTGTGGTGAGCATTTTATAATGTATACGATTGTGGAATCACTATGTTATACACCTGAAACAATATTGTATATCAACTATACTTGGATTAAAACTAAAGAAAAAAATAGAGCCCAGTATTATGGTTCTAGTACTAGAAATGGAATGGGATTGATTTACTGGGAGGGAACAGCAGGACTTGCTTTTGATTGATATTAATAAAAGGGGGAAGGGTATTATGACTGACTAATTTCCAGCTTGGATGACTGCATATGGTGAGAAAAAGGAAGCTGGAGAATATAGTTTGATGGCAAGTTTGTGTTTTGTCAGGGTATTTTGTTTTGTTTTTTCTTTTTAACAAATCTGAATTCTACAGACATTTGGATATGCAAGATTTAAGTTGAGTGGGAGACAGATCAGGGTCAATGATGTATTCTGGAGAGTTAGCATCATAAAGTTATGGTCAAAACTAGGAGACTAGAGTCTATCACCCAAGCATATTGCAAAGAATTTGACAAGCAGTGGGATAATGATGTAATGCCAACTTTTAAAAGTCACTGGACTATGGGGAACACACAAAGGGGACAAAGAGGAAAACAGCAAAGCTCAGAGAGGATAGAATTAGAGAAAGAGAAAGCCACTGGTAGTGTTAACAGTAGCAGAGTGTACTACCAAAAAATAGAGGAGGAATCATCTCCATTGGATTTGGCAATATGAGTGTCTTTGATGATAGTTTTAAAAGGTTGAGGTCAAAAGTCAGATGGCAGTGAGATCAAAAGTGAACTGAATAAAGAGAAAGAAGATCTAGAGATTGTTGAAATAGACTGAAAGAGTGAGAATGGAAAGGGGAAACCCGAACTGAAAGAGTGGTGTTTGTTTATTTGGGCTCTAGCTTTGTCTTTTGTTTTTTTGTGTTTTTGTTTTTTTTTCCCCTGAAGTGAGAGAGCCTGGACAGAGTAGTAGAACAAAAACAGATTTAAACAAGTTTTTAAGGAAACTGGAAAGGATAGATTCAAGAACACCTATGAATGAATTGCCTTCCTTAGTTCTAATTATCTTCCCACTCATAATCATAGTCCTAATACAACCATCCCTATCTATGCTCTTGGTTAATTCTTAAAACTGCTTTATATCTGTAGATAGCATAGTGAAGCTATGGAGCACAACATCAAGGTTGAAGTCCTATCCTACTCGTACATTATCCTTAAGCAAGTTATTTAATTTCTCTGCATCTTTATTACCTGTGAAGTAGGATAATAATATCACCTACTGTATAGAATTGTAATAATAGTATCTAGTTTAAGGAACAGTTGTGGGGATTAAATGATTTAATTCATGTAAATCTCTTAGAAATGTGTCTGCACATGACAAGCACTCAACATATATTAGCAATTGTTATTATTCCAGCCACAGCTAAGTGATTTCACTCTTTGAATAGTCACAACTTTTCTATGAATTAGACACTATTATGAACTCACTTCATATATTATGATTAATAATTATTGAAAACTTACTATTTTCTAGTCAAGGATCTAAATGCATAACATATAACAACAACAACAACAACGTTTATTATTTACAGCGATATACTGGAACTCTCCCCACCCCACACCTCACCTCCAGATGCGGATTGTTTCTCCAAGGAAACAAACCATCTTGGTGAATAAACTTACAATATTGACATCTGAGAATCTCCCAACAAACAACTGAGTCCACATCCAATTGCTACAGCGAGCCACCCACTCACCCCCTCAGTGAACAAACTTCACTTACATACACAAAGAGGATCTGAACACCTTTTTAGTGTCTCACTATTGATTGGATGGACAATCAAATCACATCAGGTAGCTAGGGAGCTCCCCTACCATGAGAGAGACCAAAAGAAACAGAAAAAGAGCACTCAGAAGAAACATGCAGAGAGCAGAGGAAATTTTTATAATAGATAAAAAAGGTATTACATGAACAGGCTATAAAAAAGACCACTTTTGAAAATTAAAAATGTAATAGTAAAAAATTAATAGAAGGGCTGTAAGAAAAAAATTGTAAAAATTGGATATATAAGAAAATTAGAGAATTAATTCAGGAAGTCTGGTGTTTGATGAATAGAACTTCCAGAAAGAAAATCAGAGAGAAGGGATGATAGAGTAATACCAAAATTTCCCTGAAATGGAAGATCTGAATCTTGATTGAAATGGCCCAGGGACTACCCACAAAAATGTGTGAAAAAGGGATGCCTGGGTGGCTCAGTTGGTTAAGCATCTGCCTTTGGCTCAGGTCATGATCCCAGGGTCCTGGGATCACATCCCACCTTGGGCTTCCTGCTCAGTGGGGAGCCTGCTTCTCCCTCTGCCTGCCACTCCCCCTGCTTGTGTTCTCTTTCTCTCTCTGACAAATAAACAAAATCTTAATAAAAAAAAAGTGTAAAAAAGTCCCACACCACAACTCATCTTAGAATTTCATAATACTAGAGAGAACATCCTTAAAACTTCTAAGTAGGGAAAACAAAAACAAAAAAAGGTCACAAGCCAAACATGAGCAATTTGAAGGACATTGGATTTCTCAATGGAAACTCTAGTTGCTAAAAGACAATGGAAACGTACCTTTAAATTTCTAATATAATATCATTTCAGGACAGAAATTACTATCTAATAAAGATGACCGCAGATTGAAGGCACTTTTAAACATACAAAATCTCAAAAGTTTACTTTTCATGCACTCTTTCTTGGGAAGCTCTTAAAGGACAAGAAGGAGAAGGAGAAGGAGAAGAAGAAGAAGAAGAAGAGAAGAAGAAGAAGAAGAAGAAGAAGAAGAAGAAGAAGAAGAAGAAGAAGAGGAGGAGGAGGAGGAGGAGGAGGAAGAAAAGTCTAAATGACATGAGATCCAGAATCGGAATTTAATACTGCAGAGAGGGCCAGAGAATTTCTAGAAGGTGAAATAAATTCTCTTATCAATAACTGTATGGCAGATCACCAGCAAATCACTGCAGACTGGAAAAGATGAACAGAGAGCTCCAGAAAAGATGTTCCCATGAGGAAAAATTAACAGATGACTTGATTTGTTGGACTATATTGAGAGAAGATTAATACTTCTGCTTGGGGTCCAAGTAGTGACAGGTATATAGAAAACTAAGAAAAGAAACTAAAATCAAAACAATAGTTAACTCTAGGAAAAACAAAAAGTACCTGAAAAGAAATGTGATTGTAATATAACGTATCATTCAATTATGTATGATATGTACATAGGCAAATGATATAAACATTCAAATTATTGAACCAAAAATTTTGATATAAATATACTGACACGATAGGGGAGGAAATATATATGTTTATTTAGCTATTTTAATACAGTAAGAATAACATGTTATTTAGAATTAGGAAAGAAAATTTCATAAGAAACAACTAAAATACTTCAGAATATTTAAAGTGGTTGCTTCTGAAGAGTTGGAGGAGTCAGAGATGGGACTGAGTAGGGCTAGGAGCCAGTTGTTTTTGTTTTTTTGTGTTTGTTTTTTTTTTAAACACTGCAATCCTAATTTAGTTATGTTTTTGAAAGTTCTTTAGTCTTCCACAAATTCTACATTCAGTATTTCTAACCAGATTGTGTACCCCATGAAGATAGGGGTCATCATCATTCATAATGTTTAATCCATCCCTGGTGTCTCTTCAGACCACTGATGACTGAAGAAAACCATGGGACTGGATAAGCTACAGACCTGAGCACAGACCTTTAGGACTGTAAAAGAATTCAGAAATTAACTCATTTCCTTTAATTTTAGAAATGAACAAAAAGACCCATAGAAGTAAATTATTAGTTCCTAGATAAGAAGTTATCTGTATTTGCTGTATGCTTTGATTTTGGCATCATTGTTCTAATACTTACTAATTATTAATAAATTATATAACTGAACCATAAGAAATATAAAGGGAAATAGAATTCCAGACACATCCAACAATGCCTGCTTTCATCAGGCAGGGGTACTATCCCAGTGAAAGAATTTCAGGCCTACAATAGAGAAATCCAGCAAAAGATAAAATATCAGTTTTCTTTGCTGTTGCAAATTGGATCCACACTCAGTCATTTATTCCCAGTTTTCTATCATTATTTCCTGAAGCAGAGTATGTTACAGCAATCCACCCCCAGATAGGTGATTTGATTATCCTCAGCATGTGGAATCTTTTACTCTCATAATGCTTATCAGCTCTAGCACAAATTGAACACATTAATCACCAAAAAAAGAAGTCTGCAAGAAGGATAGGAACTAGTGAGTTTCACTGATAATGGGAAAATGCCTTTTTTTTTTTTTTGAAGGACCACACTGCTAATATTAAGTTGAAAGGAAAAGACAATTTTTTTTGAGAGTGATAACTATAAGAATGGATAAGGAAGTGAATTTAAATGGATATTAGGAGAACTGAGAAGTACCCACTCCTCAATCCTCAGAGGCAAACAGTATTTGGTAATTATCTATATTTTATTCTATGAAAAGAATACTAGACTCTGCATTTGGGACTTTTTTGAAATGTAAAATCTGGAGGAGGGCTGAAAAATCTGAGCTGAAAGATTTAGTATCTTTTCCCAAATGAACATGGATGTGTGCCTTCAAATGGTTAATGCTTATCTCTGCGCAGCTGGAAGTACTGGACGAACCGGAGCCTTTGAACGTGGAAAGCGGGCATCTAACTAAAGCACCGCAGAAGAAGGGGCGCAGGCGGGTGGGGCTGGGGGCCCGAGGAGGGCCGGGTGAAAGCTGCTATCAGTAGCTCCTTCTTATTCCCGTGCCCAGCCTGCAGGGGCTGGGCTCGACCCATCTGTCATTGCACACAAGGAGCCCGAGGCTTGTCTCTTTGACAAAAACGTCCGTTTTTGTTACCTTGCTATTATGCCTGGCAGCTTCTTGTCCATGAATTCCTGCATGCACTGGTGTTCCGTGGAACTGTTGAGAAACCTCCGAAAAGATTCAACGTATCTGTTGTGGTCAGAAAACAAGCTCCTCATGGAAGATGCCATGTTTGGTTTTCTGATGGAAGACAGAGAAGGAAGTTTTAACTTCCCCTCCTTTTCTTCCCAGTTCCTTATTTTTTCTCCTCACCGCCACCAATTCCTACCCTCCCTCCCCAGCAAACAAAACAAAACAAAACAAAACAAAACAAAAACCCGTGCTTTGAATTTAACAGGCACGGAAGGCGGCTGTGCAAATCTCATTACGTCAGTCATTTGTACAGGACTTTGCGCCGCTACTTTAACCCCTACACTGTTGTTTTGCAAGAAAGGGAGGTGGTAAAGCAAAGCAATAAATCCACTGCTAAAACTTGTTTTTTTAACGCCTGAAGTTCAGAAAGCCAAAAAACCAGACTGGATTCTAAAAATTTCCTGTTTCGCGAGCAGCAACTAGCAGTAAATTTAAATTCCAAGTGGGACCCCAGCTGCTTTAAGGGCCAAAGGCGACAAACACAGAGATTAACACCCACGTAAAAGGCTACAGACCACTTTCAGAAATCTACCCCTGCTGAAATCTTTGACAGAAGACTGTCCTCTGCCTGCCTCCATGCTTTCTACAGGAGAATTTCTTGCCTTGCCCCTTCTCAGTACTTTAACTTTACGCTGATTCGCTGCATCTCTTCAAACGCTGATTGGTTGTGTTGTGTAGTAAAGGAAGTCTCTTTAGCATAAACTATCAGGGAGGAACTATCAACTAGAAGGTCTGAGAAGCCTGCTTGAGGGGCAATGAAGGAAATGAGAGAAGACTCTCAGGGCACAAATGCAGGAGAAAGGGTAAAAGCCAGCCGAGTCTGTAGGAATCATTACCGAAGTGCTTCTGAACATGGAATCTTAGATACTTAGGGTTGGACGAGCCTCTGGTGGCCCAGTGTTGTCACCAAAGACCCAAAGTGTTAGAATATCTACATGCTGGACTTTTTACCCGGGAAGTGGTGTTAAAGAAGACCATTCCCAGGGCGCCTGGGTGTCTCAGTCAGTTAAGCGTCTGTCTTTGGCTCAGGTCATGATCTCAGAGTCCTGGGATCTAGTCCAGCATCAGACTCCTTGCTCAGCAGGGGAGTCTGCTTCTTCCTTTCCCTTGGTCCCCCTCTCCTCCTCTCTGATTGTGCTCTCTCTCTCTCACACTCTTTCAAAATAAATAAAATCTCTTTTTAAAAGAGATTCCTCTTCCTATCCTCCAGCATAGGATGTTAATAACAGTATCCATCTCGTGGAAGAGTTATAAGAATTAATGAGTTAGTTCATATACATCTCTTAGAACTGTGTCTGCCTAAGCCATTCAGTTCCAAAACTGTCCAAGCATTCAACACTCCCAAACACTCTTTTCTAAGCACTTCATGGTCACACTACTCTTAGAGCTGTGCCTTTGCCCTAGGAGAAAATGGGAAATCTGGAAAAGCAGATTGCTGTGGGTATAGTGTGAAACTGTGTGACCTTGGCTGAAATATAACTTTCTGTTTGCTCATCAGTAAAATGGGAACAATGAATTAAATCTCATGGGGTTGTAATGAGAATTCTACAGATAACTTTCATATCCATGCTTACCAGATGCTTACTGCTCCTGCAAGGGGCAGGCTGGTCCCTTCTGTAATAAGAAAACAACAAAAAAAGTTGCCATTTTATTTATAGACACTGAAAATTGAGTTTCATATCATTTTCACATGTCATGAAATATTCTTTGGATTTTCTCCAGTCATTGAAAGATGTAACAGTTATTCTTAGCTCAAGGGCTGTATGGAAACAAGGTGCTGAGCTGGATTTGGCCCACGGGCCCTAACTTAGCTCCTAGGACTACGTACAGACAGACAGACAGACAGACATATGCTACTTAACTCCCGTGTCTCTCCAACCAGCCTCATCTTCCTCAAACTGACTCTCACAAGCTTCTGGTTCTTCATTACCATCTCCCACCCTTCCCTTTAGATCTAATCCAAATCATTCATTCATGGATTCATCTACTTTAACAAATATTTAGTAAGGGTATACTGTGTGATACTCGGTCGTGAAGAAATGGCATTGACCTTACCTTCAAAAGTTCCTACTAAAACCTACTGTTAACTAAAACTCACTCTTCACCTGAGACCATCATCTGGCCCCTTGCCAAATCTTCCTCAACAGTCTGCTCTTCATGCATGTCTCTTTTGGGATTTCATCCCCCTTCTCATGGCTTCTGTCCTACTTGAGATTCTCCTTTTATTTTTCACCTACTGCGCTATTTTCATGCTGGCTTCCCTGTCTTAGGAGTCACACTGATCCTAGCGAATTGTATTGCCACTGCCAAACTCAGTTTTCTAAAGCACAGTAATGATAAAGTCACTCTTCTACTGTCTCTCCACTGCACCCCAAGTTAAGTCCGAGGCTCATTCTTTGACTCCCATACCCCAAATCATCCAGACTTGTGTTTCGTTTTCCTTTAAGTCTTGCGAGTGCATCCCTTCAAACCATGCTGCTTCTCTGGATACATCCCTGTGCTTTCCCGCCTACAGCTTCTCCATGCAGCAGCCCCTACGTGAGTAATGCTCTGCTTCTCCTCTTACCCCACCCACCGAAAATGTTCCCACTCCTCATGGGCTACCATTTCCATGAAGCCTTCCATATTTCCCTCAAAAGGCTTAGCAGTGTGCTCTTAATTTCTGAGCCTCTTACAGCTTTGATGGCATTTGTCCTTGTGTTATGGTTTGTTAATGCACTTGCCTTCTCTCCCCTGCTGGGCCCTATGTGATGGCTAGCTAATAAGGACCGGGACTGAGTCATAACTGCTCACAGTAGGCTTTCAGTTATTTTAAAAGATTAAAATTGTGCTTGATCACTTTCACTATTGAGATACTCTCCACCATCAGTTATTCTTCCTCCTTTACATGATTGGGCAATTCTAACTGTTATTAATAAAACTGTAATTCCACTTATTGAGTTCTTATTATGTGCCAGGAATTGTGTGGGTCTTTTTTAACTTAGTGTAGGATTTTTCACTTTGCAGTAGCTCTGTGGGCTTGCCTATATGACAGATGAGAAAACTGAGATCCCAAGAGGTTGGGTCCTTTTTTTCTTTTTTTAAAGATTTTATTTATTTATTCGACAGAGAGAGAGCACAAGCAGGGGGAGCGGCAGGCAGAGGGAGAGGGAGAAGCAGGCTCCCCGCTGAGTAGAAAGCCCGATGTGGGGCTGGATCCCAGGACCCTGAGCCAAAGGCAGACGATTAACAATTGAGCCACCCAGGCACCCCAAGAGGTTGGGTCCTTTGCTCAAGGATGCCTAGAAAGGAAAGGGCAGGACTGGGAATCTAATTCTGATCTGTCAGATCCCCAAACCGGTGTTCTCACAAACTCTACGTTCAGCCCAAATCTGCCTCCTTATAACTTGTACATGGTACTCCCATCTCTGGCTGCTTAATCTAAATGCAACGATTCTAATTTCTTCCCCATGTAACACCTATTGAAAAATTTGAGAGCTTCTGGGTGGCTCAGTCAATTAAGCATCTGCCTTCGACTCAGTTCCTGATCTGGGACCGAGCCCCACATCGGGCTTTCTGCTCAGCGGGGAGCCTGCTTCTCCCTCTCCCTCTGCCTGCTGCTCTCCCTGCTTGTGCTCTCTCTCTCTCTCTGCCAAATAAATAAATAAAATCTTTAAAAATTTAAATAATTAATTAATTTAAAAAAAGAAGAAAAATTTGAAACTGGCTCAGAGGATAGCCCTACTCCCAAAGGTATCTCTTTCATAGTTCCATAATTCTTAGTCTATTTGGACTGTTATCACAGAAATGCACTAAGTAGCTTAAAAAGCAGGCATTTGTTTCTCAGAATTCTGCAGGTTGGGAAGTCTAAACTCAATGTGCTGGCAGATTCAGAATCTGGTGAAGGCCCATTTTCTGGTTCTTAAACAGTCATTTTCTTACTGACTCTTCATATGGCAGAAAGGACAAGAAAGCTCTCTGGAATCTCTTTTATAAGAGCACTGCTCTTGCTCATGAGGGCTCTGTACTCATGACCTAATCACTCTCCAAAGGCCCCCACCTCCTAATACCATAACACTGGGGGTTAAGATTTCAACATATGATTTGGTGAGTATACAAATACTTGGTCCATAACAGTTACTAATTATACCATTTCCAGTATAGCCTTACATAATCCACTATGCTAGTTTCCTCCTTTGGACAGACTAGTTTGTCAGGGTTTCTTTAAAAAAATTGGTGTCTGGAAATAAACACAATATCCCAAAAGTTGCCTAGCCAGACAGATTGTTACTGTCCAGGTTAGACTAAACTAATATTTCCCTAGTGTTCTGCCCAACCCGAGTTCTTTCAGATGTTACTAGATGCTTTACAAAAAAAACGAATTCAATAGATTCCTCTGATAGTCGTAATGTCCATTAACATATTAAAGCTTCATGAAACCTTTGTCACAGGCCCTGTTGAAATGCAGATACACCATGTCTATGGCACTTGGGCATTTCTCTGAGTAGTCTTTCACCCCCTCCAAAAAAAGGGAAATCTTGTTGCTTTCAGCATGACTTGCACTTGACTAAATGCTGGTTTCAGCAATCACAACTTCCTTTTAAAATTACAAATAGAATATCTGCTTCATAATCCATAATGAATCTGGAATGTCCCTGGGGATTAAAACATCTAGCAGGCTGGTTGGAATTACTAAATTTTAAGAATCCTCTTTTCCCCTCTTTCTTGAAAATTGGGGCATTAGTCTAGCAATCTATCATTTGCCATGACTTCTCAAAGTTTACTGGCAATAACATCATTATTGCTCTTATAAATTATTTCAGTACATTGGGATGTGATTCTTCTGGGCTTTGAATGATTATCTTAATTAGAATTCTTAGATGTTCTCTTACCTCTTTGGGGCTTCTGTCCTCTTTAACCTACCATATATTACGCTGTTACTGTGTCAAAGTGCCTTTCACACATTATCTCATAATACTCTTAATCCTCTGGGAATGGAACGATTGTTATCATCAAGCAAGACTCAGAACAAATAAGTTGTACAAAATCTATAACTCATGAGGAAAGAATGTGGATTCAAGTTCATGTTGTTTAACTCCATGGACCATTTTTTAAAAAATTATATCATACTACTTCTTACCACTTTGTACCTTTCCAACTTGATTATTTTCCATGTTAGAGAACTCTGGAACAAACAAAAAGTAGAGTAATTAATATAGTACTATCCATGCTAGTACAAATTAATATAGTACTATCCATGCTAGGTCAAAAAGCAAAGGATTTCCCTTGTTTATTCTTTTTTATTTATTTATTTTTTAATTTTTTATTTGAGTTTAGTTGACATGCAATGTTACATTAGTTTTAGGTGTACAACACAGTGATGTGACAAGTTTATACATTATGCTGTGTTCACCACGAGTGTAGCTGCCATCTGTCCTGGTATATCTCTATTAATGGAGGATAGTCACAAGAAAGGCAGACAGAGACAAGGGGACCCCATCCTGAGAGGAAACTACCCTTAAAAGGAAGAAGACCCCATCTTGTTATTCTATATCATCATGTAAGGAGCCCTCCACCCTTTCCCACATGAACAACTACCTGATAAGTAGATGAGTGGTGGGCAAAAACCTGATTGGGTGACAGGTGCAAGGAGGCTTAATCAGATTAAAACAGCCCGCCAACATTCTCATAAAAACCCCTAGACTTGGAAGCCCTAATGGCAACCCTCTCAGGCCCCCTCCCTATTCAGGAGCTTTGTACTATCCCTCAATAAACTTTGCTTTGCTGCCCACTACTCTTTGTCTGGTCTACCGCTTCATTCTTCAAAGTGGCCTGACCAAGAACCATGGGCACCAAAGGAAAAGAAATCCTGAAACACTATTACAATATCATTGACTATATTACTTATGGTGTATATTTTATTCCTGTGACTTATTCTTGACATACCTGGAAGCCTGTATCTCCCTGTCCCCTTCACCCATTTTTCCAACCTTCACGCCCCTCCCTTCTGGCAGCCATCAGTTAGTTCTCTACATTTATAGGTATGATTCTGCTTTTTGCTTATTTCCCTTTATTCTCATTGCTCTGTATGTGCTATACCAAAAAACAAACAAACAAAAGAAGAAGAAACAATAGCAAAATCCTAACAATGTGAAAATGTTGGGGTTTGGGAGCAAACCGTCAGAAAGAATTCCTGAGATATCTTTGGTGCAGAAAGGGTGGTTTTATTAAAGCACAGGGACAGGACCCATGGACAGCAAGAACTGCCCTGAAATTGTGAGGAGTGGCCCATTATATACTCTCTAGTTGGGAGGGGGTTAGGGATAGCATAGTCTCGAAGGAATTTGCAAGCAAGGTTTCTAGGACGTTGAGGGGCTAGCTGTTGTTAGGATAAGGTCATTTACTACTGTCTAGTAAAACCTTATAGTCATGAGACCCTTCAGATGTATATTAGTGGGCCATATTCTTGGGGGATGATTGCTAACATGTATCTTGGGGGGAATAGAGATAAAGGAAGTTTTGAAAGCGATTTTTTATAGGGTCCTGGAGGTTGGGCTAATGTCAAGCTGAAGTTGACTTTTGCGTTTAGCAAAGTATTAACATCGAAGTAGCTAAGTTCCTTGAGGAAGATCACTCTGCCTGTCTCAAGTACTTGTCAATGGACTGCAAAGGAAATTTATTTTTCTTTTCTTTTCTTTTGCTTTTGTTCTCCATATCATTACCCCCTGAACAATTTTGACCCTTAAATCTTTAAGGCTGCTGAGGGTGGAAGGTCTCATCTTCTATAACTTCTTCCTGCTGAATAGGGGCATAGAGATGTCCCTACCTATGAGTCAACATTGATCAGTTGGGGACTTATATGTATAGGAGTTACAAAAGACAGAGGCAGCTGAAACCAAGGAAGACTGCATATATAAAATCTCCCTCAGTACAAAGGATCATCTGTTGGCTTGAAGATATGGCAGTAAAAGAGTCTGGGCATCAGGAGGAGAGACACAGGAGAAAACAGCAAAACATGATTAGAAGAATAAAAAGAAAAATACAAATCAGAGTCCTTTGATAGTTGACAAAAATCCTCTTCCAGTCCAGGAGTTTAACCAATCATTAAAGGAAAGAGAGGGATTATTTAAAGCACCTACCCACCTTTGAATATTCATATAACCCTGGCATGTTTCTGTGGTAATCTGGAGTATATACATAACACTCTGTTTTAATAAAGCATAGGTTTCTCCTTGAGCTGCAGTCAGGGTATCAAGGACCATTTGGTTTTGGGGGGGCCACATTTTGAATTTGTGGGTGACTGTATGTCTAGCTTAGTTAAAGGTGGTCACTGTATGCTTGGTAAAGCCTCTATTTGCAATTTTATATCATTAGAGGCAGCTCCTGTGACAAATATGGCTAAGGGATAAAACCACCAAGAAGCCCTCTTCATTTGATGTTTAGCCTTAACGATATCCTAATTACAAGGACTCACAGGCAAGTGGGAGAAGACTTGTCTGGGTGTATGGGCATCCCCAAGTGTAACATCCAGTACAATTATAAGGAAAGTGGGCCATCCATTATTTCCACAAGTCCATAGTTAATCCTACGGACAGGGTATACTCTGGCTTTTAAGGAGTGATTTTGTCATTCCAGCCACACAGAATTGGTCAAGGTGCTAGTTGAGTTATACAATTATTGGGGAATCCATCCCATTTTTCCAGTTGTTCAAATAGTCATATGCCCATGGGCCTCTGTTATTATCCCCACAGAATAACAAGCATGAAAATTGTCTCTATATGAGCTGTTATGGCAATTTCTCTGAAGTTTACCTCAAGTTGTCTAGCCTAGGCAAACAACAAACACTCAAAGTCAATCAGAACTAGAGTTTAACATCCTCAAAGATGCATTACTGAAACATAATTTTTCACTCTAGAATCACCCTTATTTCCAGGGATAGCCAAATTGAGACTAATTCGTTTGTGAAACACGTCCAATTTTTAACAAAGTTGGCCTAATTAGTTACATAAGCTCAGCAAGAATAGTAATTGGCCATATAGATCTTTCAAAATTTGCTTTGCTGGAACTCTTCATAAGGAATCTAGGTTGAACTTTTAGTAGTGTCTCTAGGCCAGAAGCCAAGCTAAATACTTGCCATGAAACATGACTGCAATACCTATAGATTTGGGTGAATTTATCTTCTCAAGGTCCCCAAAGTATCCTGAGGTTCCTGCACCTGCCAGGAAGTGATATTCTTTACTTATTAGGTAAGGCTGTTGGGAACTCTGTAAGCAAAGTGTCAGGCCAACATTTCTAAGGGGCTTTGTGGCTCCATGTTTCACAAAGTCAACCTCAGTTCCTTAAAGCTGTCTGGTCATATCTGAGTCTATGCATGTCTCTCTCAAATATGACATTCCAGTCAAAGCCTTGGTAAAATAACCAATGTTTCCAATGGTGTCCTGTTGTAAGGAGAACAGATTCTTATTGAACTTATGCAAACAGCTATGATTGCCATGAAAGAAAGAAGACTTACTGAGACTTTGAATTTCAGAGGGTTCAGGTAGAGAGAAACATTAAATGCTTCAATTTGTTCAAGGAATATTTTATCACATTTCTGTAAGTCACAGATATCTTAAGAGAAAATTTCCTTAATCTGGAAAAGCAAACATTAGAGAACCAGCAGTGTTTCCAACAAGAGTCACAAAACTATAATCCTCTTCTTCAGCTCATTTAGTCCCATGTTACTAATTCTTATTCAGTTTGAATGTAGCTTTTTAGTTAGTTCTGAAATTCTTACCCATTTCAGTTTTAGGATCTTAAAGATACCAAGTACCTGTATTTGTCCTAAAAGTCCTTTTTATGAATCTCCTTAAAGATGAAATACATTTTGCAAAAGCATCAGAACAGTTATAAATAACAAAAACTCAGAAATGGACACTGTTAATGATCTGATATAGAGTTCATTATGATGTAGCTGACAAGGAAATTCAGTTATTCTGTGACATATAACACTTCAATAACCAGAATATTGACTGATGATCTTATACCAGAAAGTGACTTACCAAATAAGCCTTATTAGTCAGAGACTCTGTTTATGATTTAAATCTCAGGGAATTTTGTTATAACCTTAGAAAGTTTTAAAGCACATGCATAGGTACGATTACAGATCACTAAAGACCTGATAAAGACAAAACATAGAAACTGGTTTTTCTGGGCAGATAAAGAAGAGAGAAAACTTTGTTTCCATTTTCTTTTTTTTTTTAATCTTTTTAAAGAATTGTATTTTAAAAATATTGCAATGAAAAAACAGATCCAAATGTGCGATTTTAGAGAAAAATAAAACAGGTTTTTCCAATAAAGGGAAGAAATAATGAAATCATGTCCTGCTTACACGTTAACTACCACATTCTATACAATGTGGATGTGATCAACATGTATTCAATGATAGTATGAATAAACGTTTGAGATTTAAAAATCATATACCATTTGCCAATGCTGTAAAACCATAAATGTCGAAATAAATACCTAAAAATAAGTAAATTTTAAAAACTGAAGCTTCTGTTTATAGATCAACCCAAACGGTACATATAAATAGTACAGCCAATAATTTGACATTACTGTTAGTTTCCACCTAATTTCTTCATAATATGGCTGTCTGGTGTTGCATTAGTGAAGATACTTCCTACAACCACATGGGTACCCCAGAGCCTATGACGAATCACTTTACAACAGCCAAGATCGTCCACAGAGAATCCTAAATGTCGATAGCGTTCATCTGTTTCAAAAAGAGTGTTGTTTGTATATGGTCCAAAAAATGCCAAACCAGATGATGGGTCAATAAAGTCAGCCCAATAGCCTTCAGCTCGAAGAGCATAGCAAATTTCCTTAGCACCATTAATGAACTTTTCTAAAAGCATTTCTCTTTCATTTTCTACCTCTTCGCTCCAAACAGTCATATCATTCTTAGTTTTCTGTGTTATAGTCAGAATCATTAGTTTGTTGGTAGCTCCTTCTGGAAACAGTGACTCAAAATCTCTTTGCAGCAATTCTGGACATGTCTGGATTGCACACTCTACTTTGACATTTTCAAAGTAAGTTTCCGCACTGCTGATTTCTTGTTCAACAGGTGCATTACTACCCTGAAATTCATTCACATTCTGTGCCATCACAAACTCGTGTCTTTCACTTGATAAAGGTTCTGCTAGAACATCAGGTAAAGTTTTATGAACCTGGCTTTTCTTCTGTGATGTGGTCCCATTGAGATGACAGTCAAAATCTATGTTCCCAGGAAGCTGGAATCTCCGATCCTGAGGTCCAAATGGTCCCATAGTTTCATCAGGCCATACTGTTCGAGAGCAGTGGCCATTTCCAGCGGGGAGGGCAGATGCAAAATATCTTTCCTTTCGTAAAGTTATTCCGAGTGCTGTGGCCCCAAGAAGACGGGCGAATTTGGAAGGGCTAACGCGGGCGGAAACCATCCGTACCAGCCCCGCCGCTGTCTCGAGCGGTCCCAGAGGCTCACTTTTTCCGCCGTCAAAATGGCTGCCTGTTTCCATTTTCTTATCAGGAGCAGACCAAATCCAATAAAACATTGTCTTTTTAACAGAGAGAAAGCAGGATTCCAGTTTTATACCAGTGTATTTTGAAAATCCATTCATTTAAACCTTAGTCCATCCCAACCACACATAAAATATCTTTCCAAAGATTTCCCTTCACAACCTTCTACAACTTTCTTTTGCATTCGGATTTTGTCCCAAGCCATCTCTCTCCAAACAACCAGTCTCATTTTAGGACAAAATTACTTTTACCTTCAACAAAAATGTATTCCTGTTCCTTACATCTTTCTCATACATCTCCTACTTTCCTACATGCAGAGTTGCTTCCCTTATTTCCATCAGTCTTAACTCTTAGAAACCATAGTCTCCAGTGAAAACTAAGTAGTAACCAATTGTGTACAATTACATGAGAATTCTTTAGGTGGCAAATTTATGAATCAGTTAAGCATACAGCATGTTTTCCAACAGGCCCAATTATCCTTAGTTTCTTTGCAATAAGAAGTCAAAAGCACAAACCTTCATTCAGTAATCCATGCTTTAGTACTTCATCCTATTTGGAAAAGACCTATGAAGATGTCCAATGAATTCAATCCCAATTTATCATCCAAGCAAAACTTTAAAGCTTCTGGTTACCAAAGACTTTGAAAGCTTCTTAACCATTACTCATGAAAAATTTGACACAGAGAAAATTAACCATCATTTTAAGTCATCTTTTTGCTAACAAATTGCAACAAAGATAACATAAGCTTTTTTGACCTTTAGTACACCTTGGTAGAATAAAAGTTTCATATTTAATGGTGATAACTCCAAAGACATGTCTATCTTAATTAAACCAACAAACTTAAATTAGTTTAAATATTGAATTACGTTTCACCTGGGTCCACTTAAAATCAATCAATTTGTTCCCCATTGTTAATTTTTACCTGGGGCCCCTTCAGGGAAATCTGAAGTGGGCAGCGTAAGTCCAAGGGGGTGCTCTTTGCTCCTTTATAGCAAGGTTAGAAGGAAGAGGTGCCAATAGCACCAGAGGCACTCAGGCTGGTATAGGAACCAGTTATACAGGCCACACCCAAAGTGGTACAGAAACAGGAAGAGAGGAAGAAGGCAGAAGAGGTAAAGTGCTACCAGAAGACAGAGAAATAGGACTCCTTGTTCTAAAGCTGGTTAGCTCAGACAGATGAGCAGACACCATGCTTTTTTCCAACAGAGTGGAAATATACAGTCTAAGACAGGGAACTTCTCTGAAACAAAAGGAGTTTTGGCAGCTGCTTGGGACTATTCCTTAAAGTCCCCATCCCGAGGGGGACAGCCATAGTTGTCTCTGATTATCATAGCCGTTAACCCAGGAAATGAATTAGGAAGAAACCCCCACATTTTTAGGAGGAGGAACAGTGAAAGACGGCTAGCATCCCCTTCATTAGGGATGGCCTGTTTCCTCCAGCAACATGAGTTCCATCAGGAAGAGGCCTACTTGGACAATTATCATCCAATATATCAGAAGGAAGTTTACTGGCCTGGTTAGTGACCAAACACATTCCACAAGAGGCCCTTAGGTCTAAGTTCTGATTTAGAGCCATGAAGGCCTAGACCTAGGGTATCTATGTTCATTTGCCCTATTTCCTACAGAAGAGATCTAACTAATAGATCATACTGAGGACAAGCAGTGTTACAGAAGATCAGTCCTTCTTAAATTTTGCAATCTGGAATTAAAAGGCATCCAAGGGAGAGTCTTTGGGAACTGAAGAAGGCCTTGCCTTGCTGTGCCTTTGCCTTGCCTTGTGGTGCTGTGAAGAACCTGCCATTTTTAACCCATGGAAAATATTAGAAAAGTTTTACAAGGGAAAATTGCCCAATTTTGTAATTTAAGTAGTTAGTAGGGGACATTGATGGAAAATAGTAAAGATAGAAATCCATCATGGTCTAAGTGACATTCTAACACACGTAGTCTTTACAGCCAACTTCCCTAGGAAACAGTTCCCGGTTGGGTTTTTATTCAGCTGGGAATTGGTTTTGGCTGGCTCTGAGTGGAGGTCTGGTGGTCAGAAGCAGCTAGACCAGAGATGTGGAGGGGATCACATTAGACCAAAGAGGAGGAACCCTTACACAGGAGTCTTAAGATTGCAGCTGTCCTGGTGACTTAGGTGGCTGTCCCATGCCCAAGACAGACAACTTTGTATAAGGACAGGAATAAAGAGAGGGTATCAAGTTTCTGGGTCTTATCACCATTCTGACCAGGGGATTAACTTCCAGCTAGGAGAGGCAGGCTTTCTCCTCCCTGTGGAGTAGACATGGGCCAGACGATTGCAGGCTGAGCAATCGACATGAAAATGTTCCAGTAAGACAGTACTCCTTGAAAAGCCCCTGGAATGAAAGTAAAGGGAGAGGAGAGAAAGTATTCACCAAGTTTGCACCGAGACATGGAGTCTAGATGAGAAGACTCAAGCCAGATGTTTGGATGCCAAAATGATGTGAAAATGTTGGGATTTGGGAGCAAACAGTCAAGAAAGAATTCTTGAGACATTTTTGGTACAAAAGGGTGGTTTTATTAAAGCACAGGGACAGAACCCACTCTGGGGTCATGAGCTGTGGCTGATTATATACTTTCAAGTTGGGAGGGGTTTAGGGATAGCATAGTTGCTAACGAATTTGCAAGCAAGTCTTCCAGGACCTTGAGGGGGTAGCTGTTGTTAGAATAAGGTCATTTACTACTGTCTAGTAAAACCTTATAGTCATGAGACCCTTCACGTGTATATCAGTGGGCCATATGCTTGGGGGATGATTACAAACATATATCTTGGGGTGGGTAGAGATGAAGGAAGTTTCCAAAGGGATTTTTTTTTAACTTGTTTTGTTTTGTTTTGTTAAGTAGGCTCCATGTCCAGTGTGGAGCCCAGCCAGGGCTTGAACTCACAACCCTGAGATCAAGACCTGAGCTGAGATCAAGAGTCAAATGCTTAACCAAGTGAGCCAGCCAGCCACCCAGGCAACCCTTGAAGGGATTTTTTTATAGGATCCTGGGGGTTGGGTTTTTTCATTTAGCAAAATATTAACATCAAGGCTGCCAAGCTCCTTGAGGAAGGTCATTCTGCCTTTTCAAGTACTTGCAATGGGCCGCAAAAAGGAAATTTAAATTTTTTTTTCTTTTGCCTTTGTTTTCCATATCACTAAGGACCCATTTTATTGTACATAACATTCTTCAGCTATCTCTATTCACTCTGGTCTGTAGTCTTTTGAACACTGTTCTTATTGGCCTGGCTTCTTATCCTTAGTCTTATGTCACCTCACGTAACATGTATATAGATAATGATGGCAATATTGTTATCTTAATCAAATATTTAGAAGAGTCCCATTTTATTTTCTCATGACAGACAAGGAGGAGGAAGGTATTTTATACAAACTGATTGGCTCATTGATGTGCTGGTTTATTTGAAATTTAGCAGGCAGTTTGACCCAGCTGTGGTCTTGAAGGGAAGTTTGAAATTATGGTACATAAAAAAATTAGAGCTCAATTAGATTGGTAATGTCAGGCAAATATGATAGATACTAGAATCTTACTTTTAACAGGACATTTGGCTAAGTTTCTTGTAAGTGTAGAAATAAGCCAAGAAGGGAAACATTTCAGTGTTCTACAAGCTTAGCCTCTTAGTAAGTAAATGACATTAGGTAAATGATGTAACATTTACCTAATGTAACATGCTACACCACCTACCATCCCTACCACATATAAATATGGGGAAAGAAGGTAGACTAGATGATCTTTAAGGTTTCTTGAAGTTCTAATAAGTCTTCATCTTTTAAAAAAGATAAATTACTGGGGGTTTGTGAAACTAAAAATTGATGTATTCATAACTAGCAGAGCCACTGTATTCAAAGACTATCAATAAATCATAAATGATAACCTGAAGATAGTCTCTGCATAAGCAGCCCCTTGGCTGTACATGAAATTTCCTGGCCACATTTTGTCAAAGTAAGTTGCTTAAGCTCACACAACTGGTAATAATGCTATATGTCTTGTTTTTAATGGTATAATTGTTTCAATTGCACTTTATTAGCATGGAGTTTATAATGATTTTGTTTTGGGACACCTGGGTGGCTCAGTCAGTTAAGCATCTGCCTTCAGCTCAGATCATGATCCCAGGTCCTGGGACTGAGTCCTGCATCAGGCTCCTTGCTCAGCAGGGAGCCAGCTTCTCCCTCTGTCTGTGGCAACCCCCGTTTTGTTCTCTTTCTCTCTCTCTGATAAATAAATAAATTACAATCTATAATAATTTTGTTTTAATTAACTTAGAACAGAAAAAAAATTTAAAAAGGTCCAAAATACCCAGTAAAAGAGGAGACAAACCCAATGAAATAATGCAGAAGAAATATTTGGGAACTAATTAGTTGAGAGGTAAGAGGTGGGGTGGGTAGACAATGTTAAGAACTGTAGAAGAGCAACCGATGATATTCTAGAGATTACAACTTATAAGAAATGTTTATGGGAAGAATAAGTAATGAGACAAGACAAAGAAGAAATAGAGGGTTCCTATTTAATAATCCAAATAGTTAAAAATTCATCTGGAAAGGTCTAGATCTTCTTCCAAAGATAGAAGTTGGTAAATATTTGGAACCTGATATATTATCAGGAACTGCGCAGTTATGAGAACAAAAACAAACATAAAAGAATACAATTCATCAAACAAGCTTTGCCTGAATCCATAATACAGATCATCTCAATTACTGTCTCCCTGACTCTAAGGGGAGATCTAATGTTGAATTAGGGATCTGTGAAGGTAAAGGATTCATGTAAGAGAATTTTTTTATATAAAGGGAGTGGTAATGGTAAGCAGACTACTCCGGCATTTGGTACAGACGCATGTGTTCAAGTATATGCTGGGTTAGAATAATCTTCCATCTGGGAAGCCTTGCTTGTGCATGATCCAGAGACTAAAAAGATACACATGTCCATGGGTCCTAAATAGTACTTTAAAAAAAATCAAAGCATAATTTACATATAATAAAGTATATATATTTCAAGTGTACAGCTTGAGGAAGTT